CACGAGGGTTCCAGGCATTTCGTCTCCGAGATCGCCCTGAGAATTACAGCATTTAGAACTAGAATGGATCTTAGTGATTCTTCCTAGCTATTCTGTGGAGAAGAAAATGGACCCTGAGAGATTATGGCATCCAAGGTCACAAAGATAGTCACAAATATAGTAAGTAGGGCAGCCAGGATTTGAACAAACTTCCAAAAGAGTGCTTCAGCATATTCCCTTGTGAAAGCAAAAGGTCAGTGTGGAACTGACCTGAAAGCCTTTTTACCTTTTCTGTTCTCACTACTCTTCACATCCCTATATAAAATAATAATAGTATTAAGATTGTGCCCTAAGGGATCTTATTTGATCCTAACAACAACTTTATTAGGTAGGTGCTATTATTATCCCCACTTTTCAGGTGAAGAAGTGGATAATTATAGAAGTTAGGTGACTTGCCTAGTCAGACAGCTAGTGTTAGGCAGAATTTGAACTCAAACCCTCTTGACTCCAGTGCTGTATTCACTATGCCACCTAACTGCCTCTACACACCTGCCTCATTCTCTGCAGCTCCCCCTTTCTCACAACATCTGTACCTGAACTACTGATGATGTTACTGACATCCAAAGACGCCATCTCTGCCGCCTCCTCCCTTCGCTCCTTCACTGCTCGGCACTTCTCCAGGGAAGGGTTACCTGAGAGAAAAAAGGGATAGGTTTGTTTTTTGTTATGTTGTTTTTTTTAAGTTCAGCCTCAACATCTTTTCCAACCTAGGATGGAACAAGGAGAGTGAGCTCCAGAAGAAGGAAGGGGCTTGGTCCAATACCCTATTACTCATTACTCATTCCGTTTTCTTGAATCTTTCTTTGACTTGTCTTTCTCACTATCTCTTCAATCACTGGCTCTTTCCATTTTCTTTTTAAGCAGGACTTTCCTTGAGCCCCTCTGGAATTTTTGGTCCCTTCTAAGTGTCCTCAACCTACTCTGATCACCCAGAACATCAATAAAAATTTTCTGCCTACTATGTGTCAAGATACCATGCCAACCACTGGAGATACCTGCCCCTCCCCCCCCAAAAAAACCAAGCCCCGTTTTCAAGAAGCTTCTATCCTAATGGGCTTCCCCTCCTTCCTTGTTTCCCTCCCCAGTTGTCTTCACCTCACCCTCTAAGCCTAAATCTTGCAGTTCTGCCTTGAGGACTCTGAGTCGTTCCTGATGAGAGCGGCAGGAACCCAACAGCCTCTTGTAATTTCTATGGGCACCACAGGCTCGGATGTATCGCTTTAGCCGAACTACTGCAGGGTGGTCCTCTCCTCTTCGAGAGCCCTGGAATAGAAAGGCTGAAAGTGAGAGAGCAGTCACCAAGGACTACTGCCAGGATAGAGAAAAACAAACCCTCGGACTTCATCCTTGACTCCCAGTTGACCGACTCTTCTGAAGAGTCCATTTACACTCTCTCCTTACCTTTTCCATACAAAAGATTGCTCCAAATCACCAATGAGAAATTTGAATCAAAGTGATACTGTTTTACCTCATACCCAGTAAAAATTAACAATGACAAAAGATAGGAGTCAACAGTATCAAAGGGTGATGAAAAGAGACACTAGTATGTATACTGTTGGTGGAGCTGTGAATTGGTCTAACCATTCTGAAAACCAATTTGGAATTGTACTAAGAAAGTGACTAAAATATCCATACCCAGAGATCCTACTGTTTAGCATATACCCTAAGAAGGTCAAAAATAGAAAGGTCCCATATTCACTAAAATAGCAGCATATTTTATAGTTGCAAAGAACTGGAAACAAAAGTAGGTGCCAGTGGATGGGGGGAAATGGAATATAAAAATATAATGGAATAATATTGCTGTAAGAAACCATGAATATGAATAAAGACAAGTACACATTTATATGAATTGATGTAAAGTAAGCAAAACCAAGAAAATAATGAAAACAAATGACTACAACAATAAAGGAAAGAACAACAAAAATGACATTGAAGGCTAAATAACTATATGAACAAATCTGTCCCAGAAAACTAGAAGAGGAAACACACTTTGCTCCCTTTTTTAGAGAGATGGGCGACTATGGGTGTGAAACATTGCATATACTGTCAGACCATTGATGTGTTGGGTTTTGCTAACCTGTTTTCCCCCTTGCCCACTTTTCTATTCTTTGTTACAAAGTATGAGCAGAGAGAAGTGGGATGCATTTGGAATAGAAGCAGACATAAGAACAAAAGTATCTACATAATTTTTTTTTAATATAAATAATTTTTAAACCAAATATTTCCTTCTTGTCCTCTCAACCCTGCCCCCAGCACTCCCATGCCCCATGTCTCACCTTCCCTGATTTGGCCTCTGGGCTACTATCCTGTGAGGAAGTGGAAGACGGTGGTACATGGCCCTTTTTGGCCTCCTTCTTCTTGGTCCTTCCTGTCCTCTCTTCCTCATCTTCATTTGTTTCAGACTCATTCTCAACGTTTTTGGCTCCCTTCTTCCTGGAGCAACTCTTGTTACTATCATCCATCCCACTTTCCTCCTCACTGTCCTCACTGCGAGCTTTTTTCCTTCCCTTCTCCTCTGCCTCACTGCTATCCTCGCTCTCGTCCTCCACAGCCTTTTTCTCTCCCTTCTTCCCAGAGTTGCCCTTCCCCTTCTTGTCCCCGTCTTCTTCCTCACTGCTCTCACTCTGTTTCAATGACCTCTTCCCTCCTCTTGGAATTTTTGTTTGCTTCCCTCCTTGCTTCCCTCCCCTTATTTTCTGGTCCTTGCAATCCTCATTGCTTTCCTCTTCCTCCTCATCACTACTTGTGCTATTGTCTTTCACCAGTCTTCTCATTCCCTTCTTCCCAAAACTCCCCTTAAATCTAGCGTTCTCTTCAGTAACCGGTTTTGGTTCCCTTTTCCTTGCCAGGTCTTTTTTCTCATCGTCTTCACTGCTTTCCTCCTTCACTGACTTTCCAACCACCCTCTTCCTGGCAGAGTGCTCCTTCATTTCCTCTGGGGGTTTTGGTCTCTTCTTCTGAGGTGTAACTCCCTCGCCTTCCTCACTGTCAGTCTGATCACTGTCAGTCACTTGCATGGCTTTCCTTACTCCCTTCATTCTAGGATTTACTTTCTGCTCCTCGTTACCTGGCTTTGTTGATTCCTTCTTTCCAACCCTACCCTTCTGTTTGTGACATGCTTCCTCCTCACTGCTGCTTTCACTCTCCTCCTCCAAAACTTCCTTTACTCCCTTCTTTTTTACAAAGCCCCTACACTCCTCTTCCTCCTCTTTTTCGCTTCCTTCCTCAGGGTCCTCATTCTCCCTAGTTGTCATCTTCCTGGATGGAGTTAGAATATCCTCAGGCTCCTTCATCCCCTTCTCAGAAGAGCAGCAATCCTTCGTTGTTATGCCATTCCCTGCCAGGGACCTTGGGGAGCTTGGGGGGCTCTCGGGCTGGGGATCAAGGCCTGAGTCATCTGAGCTGTGTTCTGGAATGTACAAGGAAGCCAAATCTTTAGGTAAGAACTTTCCTCCACTGTGGTTACCAGTCCCTCCCCCCCACCTTTTTTTCCCTCCCCCTTTCTCAGCATCCTTCCCCGACATAAGGAGTTGGATCTTCCATGTCAGGGAGGTAGGTGAATGACCACGCTTAAGTCAAAGGGGATGGGAGCACCGAGTTGGGGAGCAGGGAGGAGAGAAAACCAAAACAGGAGGGGAAAAAGGAGGACAGGATGATGGAAAACAGCTGGATGCTCAGGTTCAGGTCCTGGCTAAGCCAGGGACAACCTCCAGGTGGGCTACCCTCGTTCCGCCAGCAAGAAGGGGGCAGCCCCTCCGCCCTCCCGCCGCTTGCTGGCGGGGCTGACCTGTCTCTGAGTTGATGCACGGTTTCCTCCTCCTCTTCACCTGGGACGTTCTGGAGGCGGTGATTGGGCTGAGGGGCCGCTTCACCCGGTCCTGGTCCCCAGACAGCAGCTCTTCTTCCTCCTCATCCCCCTGACAGGGGGCAGGAGGGGTGGGGGGAACGTCAGAGGCAAGGGGCCGGCCGGAGAGTCCCAATGCCTCCCCTCCCCCAGCTGCCCTTCCCACGCCGCCGCGGGGGGCCGGACCCACCTCCACCTGCATCTTCAGCAGCTCCTCCTCCACTAGCCGCTTCAGCTTCCTCTTGTCCTCGGGTTCCAGATGGTCTAGGCCCACATGGGCCAGGTACTTCTGTCGCACGATGGAGTGGGTCAACACGCTGGGGGGCGGGACACGGAGTCAAGGGGAGGGCGCGGGGGCGGGCTCGGGCGCCCCTCCCCATCGGGCTCCCCGGGCGGGGCGCGGCCCGACGCGGCCCACCCAGGGTCTCTCCCGCGGCTCGGTGCCCGGGGTCCCTGAACCATCCCTCGTCTCCCTTCTCCTCCTCCTGTCCCTTCTCCCCTCTCACCTCAAGTCGGGGCGACCCCGGAAGAGGCTCCGGATGAAGTCCTGCATCTCGCGTTCCCGCGCCATCTTGCCCCGCCCCCTGTCCTACTCCCACAACGCCCGCCTTTTCCCCCACCCTTGCAGATGCCTCTTTCTCGCACCGTCACATCCCCTTCCAGGCCACCGTAGTTTTGGTTCGATAAGGGCGGAGCTTCACGCTGTAAGTAGTAAGTTGTGCCGGCGGTCTGCTAACCAGGGAGCGGGAAGCGGCCTCCAAGTGGAATTGTGAATTTGGCGGTCCTTCTCTTTTTCGAAAAGAAGTGTTCAGTCTTGCTTGGGTAAATCGCTGCAGACGCTTCCGCCGCGCTCGGGTGTGACGTGTTCATTTCGCGAAGTCTGAGCGTGGCCCTGATTCATCCAGCGTAACATCATGAGCTTAAAAACTCGAAGAGGGCCGTGATCTGAGAACGTCGTAGTACAATCCTTCGAACTTTTAACTTCTCGAGTGGAGTTATGGGGTAACAAACGTCTTTGCTCGTCTTTCGTGATGTCATCGCGTCTCTACGCGCCCGTTGGTCAATACCGTAGCTGAGCCGGAGTTAACTTTTTCCCCCTTTACTGGTTTCGTTGCGCATGCGCGTTTCCCTGACATTCTCGGATAGTCCGTTTTCGTGCTAAGCTCTTCGCAGAAACCTCTGCGCGGGTGCCTCTGGAAATTGTAGTCTCAAGTGGGAGTGAGTAGGCGGATTCCGGAAGTTGTGTGCCTGAGAGCGCCTGTTGTGGGGTGGGGAGTAGGTAACGGTTCTCCCCAGGCCTTGGGCGGGGGGGTCCCTCCCCCGCAGGGCTTGTAGCCCGAGCCTGAGTAGGATCGGGCATCGGACGCCCGGGGTGGGTGTGTTTTCCCCGGCCAGCCATGAATGGGCAAGCAGACGTTGAGGTGGACTACAAGAAGAAATACCGGAACCTGAAACGGAAGCTCAAATTCCTGATCTACGTAAGTGTGTGTCAGGGGACGGGTCCGAGCCTGGCCCCGAGCCTGGCCCCGAGCCTGGCCCCTCCTGCTCCAGGGCCCCTAGCCCTAGCCTACGACGGGGCCTCCTGTGAATCGCCCCCCCCATCCCCCAACGAGGAGGCCAGGGAAAAGTCTCCCATACTCTCAGGGATTCAGCCCCAGCCCTGCCCACCAACTCTGTGCTCTGTGACCTTGGGCCAGACCCTTCCTCCTGAGCCTCAGTTTCTCTTATCTGTGAAATAAGGGGGTTTGACCAGCGTATCTCCAAGGGTCCTCCCAGCTCTGATGCTTTCTTATCCAGGAGCATGAGTGTTTTCAGGAGGAACTGAGGAAGGCGCAGAGAAAGCTGCTGAAAGTGTCCCGGGACAAGAGGTGAGAGGGTTTGGAATGGGAAAAGGAGTAGGATGCTGAGGAAGGAAAAGAGCCCCAGGAACTAAAGGAAACACTACCTTTCACCCCTCTCTCCCCAAATCTTTCTTAGTTTCCTTTTGGATCGTCTTCTGCAGTATGAAAATGTGGATGAAGACTCTTCTGGTGAGTAGAAAACTAGAGCATAGGGACTAAAGACCCTTTGAAGAGTGAGTACTACCTACTGCTTCATCTCTTTTCACCAGATTCCTTGAGTGCCTTTACTTATGGTAGTAATTCAGACTTTATAGAGTTTTTAAGATTAATAAAAAAGTTCTCCTCTGACTCTCCTTAAAACTGTATGAGGTAGATAGTACAAATATCCTTTGTCTTTTTTTTACAAATGAGGAAACTTAAGATCAGGGAAATAGAATTCTAACACTGGCTAGAACCATGCATCTGTCTTTCCTACTGGCTATCAAAGTCTCCTACCTGAATTTATTCTTCTCAGAAGGTTAAACTAGGAATCAGAGGAATTAGGTATTGGTCCCAGTTCTGCTACTTATTAGTGACCTTGGACAAGTTATACTTTAGGTCTTAGTTTTCTAATCTGTAAAAATGAAGATAGTGATTCCTGCCCTCTTTCCCACAGAGGCTTATTGTGAAGATCTGTTGAGACAAACAATAATAATTAATGTTTACATAGTATGGCTAAATTTTCAAAACACTTTTTTTATGTTATCATAGGTAGATGATACTTTACATGGTATTATCCATATTCTACAGATGAGAAAACTGAGTCTTAATGAGGTTGTCACTTGCCCATGGTGATACAGCTATATTAATTGCCTGAGATAGGATCTTAATTAATTTAAATCTTCCTGAACCAAAATCCAGCACTCTTTTATGTAGATACGGTACTTAGGAAAGAGATGAGAGATTATTATTCAGTTATCTTCTTAATTGTTTCTTGATTGCTTGCTACTCTCAGGATATTGTACTGGGTTTTGGAGCTACAAAAGAGTCCCTGCTTGCTCCCCAAGAGTTTATAGTTTAGTTTGGGGAAAGGGGCCATATTACACACAGAGGTAGTTTGCAGGAGAAAGTGGTAGATGCTGACTCTGGTTCAAAGTACAAGTACCGTCAGAGTTCAGAGGAAGGAAAAATCACTCTGGGATGATTATGGAAGGAAGAATAATAGGGCCCTGGGGTTGACCTAGAAGGAAGGAGAAGACTTAAATGATCAGAAAAGATGGAAAAGGACATTCCAAATAAATCATAGCAAGGAATGTGCATGGTGTATTTAGTAAATGTTGTATCCTTTCAGTAGAAGGGGCACTGAGGGAGTAGAGAAAATAGCTCAACATTTCCCTCTTCCATTCTAGACTCAGATGCCACTGCATCCTCAGAGAACAGTGAGACAGAGGGCACACCCAAACTCACTGAGACACCAGCCCCCAAGAGGTAAGAAAGAACACATCCTCTATCCTTCTTGTCTTAAAGACAAGCCCTTTCTGTCTTTTCTTTTTTCCCCTTTACATTTATTTTTTTTGTTATTCTGTACTTAATAAACATCATCAAACATGAGCATTTCCATATACACAGAAGAACAGAAAAAGAGAATTGTAGGAGAAACTAGGAATGTGTTATATAGCTTACCTTTCTTCAAAGAATACAATAAATTCACCATGTTAGTTTGAAAGCTGTCCTGCTTGCCTGTGTCTCCTGAGTCTACATGTTCTCTTCTGTAAATGTTCAGTGCTACAAATGACCCTCTTTTATTTTTTTTGTATCCTTGTAAGTAGTCCTATCCCCTTCATGTAGGAGAGGAAATACCCCACAACAACCCACCCTTGTAACAAATAAGAATAGTTAAACAAAAAAAAAATCCATCCATTTTTCCATCTCAGAAAATAATATATCTTAATCTACTTCTTTGGTCCTTCACTTCGTCATGCAGTTGGTAACATACTTCATTAGTGGATCTTTTGGAGTAGCAGTCATGTATTGCATTGATCAGAGTTCTTAACTTTTTAAAAGTTGTTTGGTTTTGGTTATTTTCAATGTTGTAGTTATCATATAAATTGTTTTTGTGGTTCTGCTCACTTCACTCTGTGCAGTTTATCTGAATCTTCTTGGGTTTCTCCAATCTAAATGTTTTATTGTTGGTTATGGAACACTAATAGTCAGTTACATTCACATGCCATGATTTGTTCAGCCATTTCTGCACTTTTCAGCACTCTCTTAATTTCCATTTCTTTGGTACGATGAAAAGTGCTGCTTCAAATATTTTTGCACATTTAAGTCCTTTCCTTCTTTCTTTGATCTCTTTGGAATACCTACCTAGTAGTGGTATTAGCTTCCTGTCCTTTCAAGAGGGGATGGCACAAATAGGATTTAGGCTAGAGACAAATGTTGGAGGTTTGCTATTTGGGGGTCTGATCTTCTCTATTGTCCCCTTTCTAGGAAAAGAAGTCCCCCTCTGGGGGGTACCCCATCCCCCTCTGGCCTTTCACTACCCCCATCCTCGGGGTTTCCCCTGCAAGCCTCCGGGGGCCCCTCTCCGTACCTGACCTCGGTGAGTAGAAGTTTCAGTGATGATGATTTGGCCAAGGTTTTAATGTGACAGCTTTAGTTTCTGCATCAGGAAAGTAAGGCCAGCTGTCTTGCTTGAAGTGGGTTTCACAGATTGGCTGAGACATCATGTGGTGAGCTTGCTTCAGGAACTGGCAGTGGCATTGTTATCCATGGGCTGTGACTTTGTGTCCACCCAGTGTTCATAGGGGCTGGTGTATGGGATGTGTCTACCCGGTTGGCTATGAGTTGTGTCTGTAGTTTTGCCCAGTCTAATAAGGCTAACTTTGTGCAGGGTTTTCATAGACAGCCTTTTTGGAAAGAGAGCAGCCAGGCTGATGTTGGTGATGCCCTTAGCTTCCCAAAATGCCAAGCTGATGGTAGGCAGCAGCTTCTTCTGAATCAGGAACCAACTCAGTGTAACTAACTGGAGATGAGCTGCATTTGTAGTCTGTGGGTCTTGGCCAGTTCCCTTCATTGATCTCAGTGAAGCTAGTCCCTCCCAGTACTGACAGGGGTCAGTGCTTACTTGACAAAGTCCTGTCTCCTACTGTTGTTATACCACCCCACCCCCAAGTTTGTTTTTATGCAAACTCAGGGTCTTTTCAGTGCTGGGTAGAGATGCAGCAAGTAGAGGAAAATCCTTCAGGAACATGAAGATCACCTCCATGTGAGGGACCAGTTGGCAGCGTTGGGGGGAGGCAAGCAGGTTTGGAAGTCAGAGGATAGCCAGCTGGGCCCCACCATGCTCATCACCATTTTTTTGTTTGTTTTTCCATTTTCTCTTGTTTGGGTTTCTCTTTTGCCTTGCCTTCCCTCAACTTCTTCTCCCTCTCCCAACATCTATCCTTTTCCCATCTTCATTCTCCCCTTTTTCCCCTCCCCTGCAGCTGGCCTCCCCCCCATATTCCCCCTTCCCCTCCGACTACCTGGCCCTGCAGCTGCCTGAGCCCAGCCCCCTGAGACCCAAGCGGGAGAAACGGCCCCGCCTGCCCCGGAAGCTCAAGGTACCTGAATTTTGGGGGAGTTGGGACACTTGGGGGGGGGGTGTAGTGTGGGTTTGGGGTTGTAAAAATGATAGGTGGTACTGGCCCTGGAGAAGAACTTGAATCTAGGGGAGTTTTTGGGTTACAGATAGAAATTTAAGGATCTTTTGCTAAGTATTGAGAGCCTGTTGTGTACCTAACGTACTGTGCTCAGTGCTGTTGGCACATATAGAAGTATAAGATAGGGTTTCAGCTCTTGGGCTACAGTCTGGTTTGGTAGCCAAAACTGATCTTGTAAACAATACGAGATATGTGGTTTAATGTTCTACACTGTGTGAAACAGAGAAGGAAAAGTTGAATGAAGAGGGGTAAAGTCTCTAGGGAAAACTTCAGGGAGAAGGTGGATCTTGGCCTATGCCTGGAAGGATGAGTGGGTTTTGGGTAGGTAGAAAAGAACAAGAAAAGCAATCCATATGAAGTTCATAACATGGGTAGAGGTAAGTATGAGGTTGGTGTATTTCTAGGACTAAGATCAGCCTGGTTAGACTAGAGGATACACAGAGATCACTGGCAGTTCAGATGCAGTGCACCATTCTTCAGCAGAGGAGTGACTTGATGAAAATATTGTTTAACAGAAACTGGCAGGCCAGAAAGTCAGACTTGTCCTCTGTGTTTTCCTTTATTCTTTCTGAGAAGAACTCCGAGACTTACACCGCCTCCCTTCAATATAGTACAGATCAGATGTTAGTCAGTAAACTTGTATTAAACCCATACTTTGTGCCTCTTACTGTGCTAAGCTCTAGGGATACAAAGAAAGGCAAAAATGTTTAGAGACAACATGCATACAACTATGTACAAACAAGGTATATGTGGGATCAACTGAGGGTAGACTCGGGAGAAAGGCACTAAGAATAAGGAATACTAGGCAAGGCTTCTTGCAGAAGGTAGGACTTTAACTGAGACTTCAGGGAAGCCAGGAAGCAAAAGTGAGGAGGGAGTATATTCCAGGCATAGAGTACAGCCAGTGAAAATGGAGTCAGGAAGTATTCAAGTGTTGTTCAGGGAACAGCAAGGAGGCTGGTGTTACTGGATCAAAGAGTACATGGAAGGGATTAAAGTGTGAGAAGACTGGAAAGGTAGGAAGGGACAGGTTATGATGAGTTTTAAAAACCAAACAGAGGGTTTTATGTTTGGTTCTGCAGATAATAAGGAAGCCATCGGAGATTATTGACTAAATAAGTGATGTGGTCAGACCTGAGCTTTAGGGAGGTCATTTTGGCAGTCAAGTGGAGAATGAACTAGAGTAGAGGGAAGCTAAGGCAGGGAGGCCAACCAGAAAACTATTTCTATTGTCCAGGTCTAAGGTGATAAGGGCCTGTGCCAGTGTGGGGCAGTGTTAGAGGAAAAATAGAGCAGAATTAGAGATGCTCAGAAAGATAGAATCAGTAGGAATTGGCAACAGATTTGATATAGGGGTGTAAAGAGTGATTCAGGAATATGACTAGGTTTCTAGCCTGGATGATGGGGAGGATGGTGGTGCCCTAAATAGTGATAGGAAAAGGGAGGCAGAGCCAAGATATTGGTATATCAGGAAGAAGTACAGCTTCTATATACACATTCCGCCCCCCCCAAAAAAAAAGAAAAAAAAAAAACTAAGTGACTGAAATATCTAAAAAATGAGTCAGACTGAATCCTGGTAAGGGAATCCAATGAAAAATCACAGTGAGTCATTTTTCCAGCCTAGGTGGGCATAAGGAGACAGATAAGTGTATGGATACTGGGGACGAGGTCTGACTGGGACCATGTCAAGAAGAGCACTCCAGCACCCAAGTACTGAAAGAGGACTAAGAGTGCACCAGGGTGAGACAGGTTCCCAGATCCACTTTAGGGCACTAAGATCTCATGTAGGCTGTGGGAACAGATGCCAGCAGACAGCTTTGCTGCTCACTACCCAGTTCCAGGTTACCGATCAGGGTGGACTGAATGGGGGCTTTCATTCAGGGGTAGCCTTTGGGGTAAGGAGCAGTTTCGGGCACTAGGCTGTGTATTGGGTGAGGAGCAAGTTCAGAAGCAAGGAGTAGCTGTGTGGCTCTTACTCAGGAGTGGAGTAGAGTCTCATTTTCAACTTCCACCCCAATCTGAAGCCTGCAGAGGAATAACCAAGGCAGGAATCCCAGACCAAAGAGAAACCTACAATTCTGTCACTGAACCAGCAGAGCTTTCCACTTGGCTGATAGTGACTGAGTCCAGCAGAAGTTTACTGAACCTCAAAAGGCCAAGCCCATAGGCCTGTTGCTCAGACCTAAACCCAGAACAGGAACTTGAAGAGCTCAGACCAGGGGACGGCAATCAGACTTGCCCTGGATTAGACCACCTTGGGAGCCCTGAAAGCTTACCAGTCCCCAGCCTGAGCTGTCTTTGAAATCCTGGAATAACACAACATTCAGTACCTTAAGAGAATAGCATCAGGACCAGCCCAGATATTCCCTCCAGAAGTATACAGGGCCTAATCCTAACAGTTTGAAGTCAGGAAATAGACTGGAAGAATGAGCAAGTAATAAAAGAATCCCACCATTAAAAGCTATTATAGTGACAGGGACTTTCAAGACACAAAACCAGGAGAAGAGGATGGCACCAAAACATCTACAAGCAAAGCCTCAAAGAAAACCACAGCTTGGGGACAAGTTCAACGAGAATTCCTGGAAGAGATGAAGTGAGTTAAAATAAGTTTAAAAATGTTTTTAGAAATGAAATGAGAATGCTAAAGGAAAAAATTAGAAAAGGAATATGAGCTATGGAAGAAAGACTTGGAAAGGGGATTAAAAGTTTAGCACAGTAGGTACAAAACCTTACCCAAAGATCAAACTCCCTAAAAATTAGAATGGACAAAATAGAAGCTAATGACTTCATGAGACAAACAGTCATTGAAAATATAGAAGAATTTTTAAGGTATCTCATGGCAAACAGTAAATAGCGAAGTTGGAAGAAGGGGTGGTTTAGGGAGAGTTCCATTTTGAATATGTTTAGTTTAAGCTATCTACAGTTTAAGTTTAAGATATTTTCAAGACATCCAATTGGAGATGTGCCATAGGCAGTTAGAGATTTGAGATGGGAGGTCAGGAGAAAGATTAGGATTTGATAAATATATTTGAGAAGCATTGCATATAAATAATAATTGAATTTATGGCAGCCAATGAGATCACCAAATGAAATAGTAAAGGAGAAGAGGGCTCATGACAGAACCTTGGTGGGTGACACTATCAGTTAGTAGGTGAGACCTGCATGAAGATTTAGTTAGGAGACTGAGGAGTAGTGAGATAGGAGAGAAATCCAAAAAGGGTGATATCAAGGAGAAAAGAGTACTCAACAGTGACTGAGATTGCAGAGGTCAAGAAGGATGAGGATTGAGAAAAAGCCATAGGATTTGGCAATGAAGAGATCATTGGTAACTTTGGACAGAGCAGTTTCAGTAGAATAAAGAGGCTCGAGGTGAGACTGCAGAGAGTTAAGAAAATGAGAGGAAAGGCAGTGGAGGCACTGATTGTAGACAACTTTCTCAAGGAGTTTAGCCATTGAAGGGAGGAGAGATGGAGAATGATTACTGTTGGGGATTCAGGTTGGGGGGTTGGTATGTGACTTGTGCACATCATTATTTGCCCACAGCCATCACTTGCCTCCTCATTCTCAAGGGAAAGGTTGGGCTGGGGACCCATCTAGCAGCTGTGATACGGGATAGAGCTAATAATTTTGACTGCAGACAAAAATTATATTACTATATATCATATTACATATTTCATATTACTAATGAAATTTCTTTAAGAAGATTTTAAAGTCTTCAGGGAATACGCTATTAACTCATGGAGGAATTTTAAGGAAAAAGTTGCAAGTCATAAAACTATTAGGTGCCCCTTTAATAATAACTGGCATTGATAGAGCCCTTTAAGGGTTCCAAAATACTTTCCTCTTGATAACCCTGAGATACCACCATTTTTCAGATGAAGAAACTGAGGCCCTGAGAGATTGGATTTGAAGCAGTATTCAGATCCAAATTTCCAGACTTCAAATCCTGTGCTTTTCCAGTGGATCCCCCTGCCTGTCCCTTAATGAGAGAGACATTCAGAAAGGCATTTGTTGACAGATCAGAAATCTTTAAAGGGAGCAGGCTCAGGAAGATCACTGTCCTTGAACTGTATTCCTAAAGCTGCTGGGTTAGCTTGTTGTTGGCCTAGCTTGCCAACAATTTTTTATTCCCTACCTAGGATTTTGGCATGTGTTTGAAATCTTTGGGGAGAGAGGAGGTGCTGGGAAATTTTATTAATTTATTTTATCAACAATCACTTCCATAAGCTTTTGAGTACAATTTTTCTCCCCCCCCCCTCCCCAAGATGGCGTGCAATCTGATATAGGCTTTACATACAGATTCCTACTAAACATGTTGCTGGAAAATTTTAGAGCATACATGCACCATACTACACTCCTCAGCCAACAGACATTTTCTGAGCACCAGTTACATGCAAGACTCTCACAGAATTTACAGCATACCTAGCAACATACCAGGCAGTGGATGAGAAGTGCCAACCAAGTGGCAACTACCTTCTCCCCTCCTCCCCCTGCACCAAGTACCAAATTGCAGTCACAGCCAAACTTGACCATTGGGTTTGTGCCTTTAACTTGGCTAATGTCTCCACTCGGTGCTGCTTGACTCTGGTGTCAAGACTTATTGACTCTTAGGAACTCATCAGAAACTTAAATGTGAGTCTTGGCTGAACTGGGCTTATGGCTTTAAGGCAATGATCGTAACAGACAACCTGAGAAAAATAGTTCTGCAAATCTATAGAGAATGGTAGGGTTGCCCTGGTACTCTGGGGCTTTTCAGTGTGTACTATTAACTAACCCACAGAGAGGGTTATCTGACTGGAGTGTAAAACTATTAGTGAGGGGTGGGGAGACCAGGTGACCTTGCCCAACGACGTAGACTAATTATGCAAGGAAGAGGTCCAATGAATTTTCAGAAAAGTTCATTCCAAGGATAGGAACGGAAATTTTCCTTATTATCTTTTTTTTTCTTCTTCTGTATTTTTCTCCTCCGTTATCTTCCCTCCAGATGGCAGTGGGGCCATCTGAGTGTCCAGTGGGGGGTTCACTGACCTTCCCAGGCCGGGGAGCTGGTGGTGCTGGGGTAGGGGCGACCCTGGCCCCACTAGGGCCTCCTAAGCTGCCCCCACATACAATCCTGAGCACCGTCCCTCGCCAGATGTTCAGTGATGCAGGGAGTGGAGATGATGCCCTGGACGGCGATGATGACCTCGTGATTGACATCCCCGAATGACTACCTACCCTAGCCCCTTCCCTCCCTCCGGTTGCCAGGTGGCAATGGCAACAGAAGCAACAAAGACAAAGAGCAGTGTGTTTTTGGAGACATTTATTGATGCCCAGTCTTATTGGTCTGGACATTGACAATCAGAAGAGGCGTAAACATGCAGCACAGCGCCCCCAAAGAAGAGGCGGGGAGGCAGCCCCCAGCCCTGAAAGCGGGCACATGCCGCATTTGGATTTGTAGCCAGTGGTGTGCAGGGAAGGCAGATGGACTCTGGAGGTCAGCACAGGGCTTCCTTGCCCCCCTGCTGCCATATGCTTTGCCTTCCTCTCTCGCCCTGGATGCAGCCAAAAGAAAAAGGAACAGCCAAGGGGGCCTCTGCCTCCCCTTCCTGAAGGCAAAGACCCCTGCACCAGCTACCATTTTAATGGGGCAGCCAGATAGGGCTAGTTTGTTTTGTTTTTGTTTTTTACTGCAGACTTTTATTAAAGGGGTTCTTGGTGGTTTTATTTTTGTTTTCTGAAATTCTCTCCCTCCCTAACCCCCTCCTATTCCGGTTTACTCCCACTGCAGGGAGCTTTGCCGGGGCAGCTTGGAGAGGTGGATGAGAGGAGAAATGACCTGGTTGGGGGGAGGGAGCAGGGCAATAAATTCTCTCCCTCCCCTTGCACATGCGAGTGGTATGGTTCATTTGCATATAATATCCCATCAGGCAGTAGGAAATTTGCATATATAGCCCCACCCATCCCCTCACAAAAAGACATCCCCACAGTAACAAAGTGAATCTCACAAAATAAGACAAGAAGTGTTGAGGGGGGAGAGGGAGAAACTTCTCCCACCCCCATCCCCATGTAAACGTGCAACACACTCGTGCGAAGTTGAGTAACAATCACATGGCCCTGTGGTTCCCCCACCCACCCAAGAAGGGGCTCTTCCTTGCTCCACCTTTTCTCCCACTCTTGCTAAGGTTCTTAAGGGCCTCCTTCTGGAAAACAGCCTGGGTCCCAAGTTCCCTTCTCTCCCAGAGCTGAAACAGATGAACTGTTCTGTCCTTTCCTGAGCCCATTGAGATGATAGAAAGCTTGGATTCCTCCTTCCCACTCCTTCCCACCCCTTCCACCCTCTTCCCTTTCCAGGAGTGAAGAGGAGAAGCCGCCCAGCTGAAGCCCCTGGTTTCCCACATTCTCTTGCTTCCTCTGTTGGGAAGTAGCTTGTGTCATGGTGCTGGTTGGCTGGGGTCTTAGGTGGAGAAGGAGGCAGCAGCAGGGGGCAGTTCATTGGTCAGGGTGTGCCAGCGTTCCAGGGTCGTATCTGGTTGTCGAAGACAGTCCCCCCAGTGCTTCAGAGCCTCTCCCCGTGAATTGGGACCCAAGGACACTCCACCTGGGGGGAGGGAAGGAAGGAACCAGTGCATAACCCATCAGCTTACTAAGTCCAGTACCTGAATCAAACAGTCCTATTTTCCCCCAAATGCACAGGTGACAAGGTTTCCATGCTGGCCGTTGGAGCCAAACCCCCTGGAGCCCAGTCTTCTCACCAATGAAGTCATTAGATTTGCCAATGTCATAGTCCCAGACGGTGACCTCTAAGGTCTTCGTGGCCAGAGCCGGTAGCTCCATCTCATAGAAGAATTCCTGGGGAGGTGGGGAACATGAAAGGCTACTTTCCCCTACCTTTACCTTTTGGGTTGCCCCAGATTGTTTCCCTGGTTTGTCCTCTAATCCTGCTCAACTAAGGAAAAGGGATGACGTGAGCATCAGGAAATCATTTACTGTTGGCCAGCTCTTCCCACAGCAGTCATTGGCTCTCTGAAGACACCATAGGGCTTAGAGCTTTGAGGAAGATGGAATTAAGATAAGATTTCATAATTAAAGATGTAGGAGCCCAGGGTCCTGTGCATATCTTGTTCAGGTGGGGTCACCACTAGCGGAAGGGCTGTCCCATGAAGTAGAAAATACCTTATCTAGATTTTCCAGAATCATCCAGGGCAGGATGCTTAAGAAATAATGGGATCCTAGTAGTTAGGATGGAAATAAGTGCTCTCACACAGGAGAGAGGAAGTCACCTTGTGACCTCACTTCCTTGATCAATCTTCCCACCTCTTATTGTCTCTACCTAGTTTTCTCCTCACCCCTCAGTCACCTCATTAAACTCAGGATTCAGAGTTTTCTTCTTCACTGATGTTTTGTGCTTTGATTTCTTCTCAACATCTGGCCTCAGGTATCTGTGGAGACCACTGTGGGTCAGGATGCCCAGGTTCTGGGCATGGGGAAGGGTGGAAGTGGAACTGAGAGTGGGGAGCAAATGCCTGGGGCTGCTGTAGGAGGGCTGAGGACAGAGGACTAGGGCTCAATGTGGCTAGTGAGAAGAGCATGTATGGGGCATACAAGTACCTGGTTTCCTGCTACTAACACATTTTATGACCCGATCTTTAAGGTCCCATCCAAATTAGACATTTTGCTTCTATGGTTGTAGGAAGAAACACTACGGGGTGAGTGAAGTTGCACAGAAAAGGAGACTGGGGGCTGGGAGTCAGGACACCTGGGGCCCAGGAAGGGAGTGGGGCTGGGTTCCTCACGTCTTGACGTAGGGGTCTGAGTAGCCGTTGACATCCATGGCTGCAAGATGGGCGCATCGAACAATACCCACAAGCAGCCCGTGACGCTGAGAGCTGTAGGTGAGCCTGAGCAGTATTCGTCCCCGCTCCTCCAGCAGGCCTTGGCCCTGCTCTGCTCGCTCCAGCTAGGGATAAGAGAGACAGCACCTCAGAAACTGGACCCCCATGGCTCTAGCTACACGCAGCCTGCTCTCTTGGTGAATGACATGAGATGATTCTTCCTCTCCCACCCCCTTCCCCCTCTCTTGTCTTTAGGGAGGTGGAGAAAAGTGCTTCCACATGTAGGCAGGAATTAGCCAAGGGGCTAAAGCCGTCTTAAGGCCAGGGTGCTTCTGCCTTGTGGATTTTTCTTCCCTACAGAAACTGCTCCCTTACTTCTCTTGAAGGAGACTGTTGGTTGGGGTAAGGGGTGGGGCATGATTTCCTTACCTCTTTCAGATAACAGGAAATACCTCTCAGAGCAGCTGTCATGGAGGAAGGTGATGCCAACTAGAGTTTGGACAGAAGAGGAGATTCTAAAGGCAGCTATTCTGTTCCATCAGCCTCCTGGGCTCACAGACCCTCTATCTTTTCACCCCCGCCCCCCACCCAGCTATTAGGAAGTCTCAGCTCCACATACTAAAAACTGACCGGGACCTGTCGCTCCAGACAGATGTTAAAGTGCTTCTTCTGGGAAGGTTTGAGACGGCGAAGTGGTACCCGGGTCTCCCCAATGAACTCATTGTGGCTCAGCTTGTCCTCATCACAAACAGAGATCCTGGAGGGAAAGAGGCATCAGGGGGTAGTGTCACAGAGAATCCTAGTACTGGAGATTCAACTTCAAGTCAACTCTCCTAGGAGTGGGAGGAACCCAACAGGGGGCAGAGATGATGCCCTGAATATTGATGATGACCTCATGATTGACATCCCCTCTCAGGGTGCAGAAGACACTGCAGAAAAGTCGTAGGGGATCTGGAGGGGGATTCTGTCTATATATGGTGTAGGGAGAGGTCCACCTTGCTACCTAGAGTTGGAGGTAAGGATCTCATGGGAACATGAAAACTTGTTACTTAAAAACTTTTGGGGCCTCACTATTAGGAACCCATGGGAGTAAGAGCACTAGAAGCCCAGCCCCACACAATCCACCTTCCTTTCACTGATTAGCAGGAAAGTATCATGTGGAAATAGCTCCCCTTCTCTCTTCCCTCCTCTCCATTTTGGACATCTAAGGAAGAATTAAGGAAAGAATGCCCTGCCCTGGGGGCTCTTGGAAAATATATGTAAGGTCCCCTCTCCAGTATGAGATTTTTTCTACTTGTGTGACCACCTTCAATCATGGGCTCCATGTCCCCATGTCCCTAAGCCCCAACATTTTACCAAGTGTCCTTGTTCCACATCTTCAAGGCCCCAGTCCACAGCTGCATTTAACCAGCCAAAGATGGGTATTAGTCCAGGCAGGAGGGACTCCCTAGTACCCACATTCCCCATTTCCCTGGGGAAAAGAGCTGGAATGGGGGCCAGGATCAAAAGGAACTCTTCCTTTACTCCTTCTCTCCAAAACCTCCTCAGCCACAGAGATGGAGACAGTCTGGGAGAGAGTGGCCCCAGATTAGCCTAGACTAGTCAACCCCAAGAGATAACAGTTTCCAGCCTACAAGCTCCATAGTCTGGCCAGTTTGTGGTAGAGAGCAGTCAGGGTCTAGGGGTGCTGATGGGAACTGGAGGCAGCCTTGGCCTCAGAGCTGTTGGGGGAGGAAAAAAAAGGGCCTGTGGACCTGGGGAGGCATCAACCCTGTTGGTCCTGTATTAATTCCTTTGTATGTCTTAACCTCATCTGCTCCATACCCATCCGCTTCCTGTTTCTCTTCTTTTCCAGATTTAACTCCACTTCCTCTATCCTTGATACCATTCCCTCCTGCCTCCTTTTAGGCCTTGTTTCACCAATTATTCCTTGCATCTTCTGTCTCTTCTCTTGCATCTTCCATCTCTGCTGGTTCTTTCCTCACCGCCTACACAAACACATTAATATCTCCTCTTTTCTAACAAAACATTGGCTTGACCCTACTGCCACCTCAAACTACCTTTCTATTTCTCTCCTTTCCTTTACTTCCAAACTCCTTATGTGATTTATTCTACACTTACTGCCTCCACTAACTCACCACCTACTCATTCCTTAATCCCCAGAAATCTGGCTTCTGTCCTCATCATTCTACTGAAATTGTTCTCTCCAAGGTCATCAATGCCTTCCTCTCTGCTTAATCTAAATGGTCTTTTCTCAGTCTTCATCCTTTTTGCCCTCTCCTTATCATTTGACGCTATTCTCCATCTCTTTCTGGATACTCTCACCTTTGGCTTCCATGACACTGCAATATCCCAGCCCTCCTCCTAACTCTCTGACAACTCCTTCTCTGCCTCTTTCATTGGCTTCTCTTCCTCCTTCTGTTCTCTTATTGTGGGCATCCCTCAAGGTTTGGTCCTCAGCCATCTTCTCCATGTTCCTCTAAATACTCTTTCCCTTGATGATCTCATCCACTCTCACAGCTTCAACTATTATTTCTATGCAGATGATTTCCAAGTCTCTCTTTCTAGCCCTCATCTCTTTTTCCTGAACTCCAGACTCATATCTCCAGCCATCTGTGCTGTGCAGCTCCACCTGGATGTTTCATTAGCCCTATAAACGCAACATATGCAGAATCAAACTCACTGTTGTCTTTCCTAAACCAGTTCTTCCTTAGTTCCTTATTTCTATTGATGACACTACCATTTCCCCAATTACCCATGATTAATTACATAGTCACATTTCATTCTTCCCTTTCCCTGTCAAAGAAATGGCAGGACTTGGCCACTGATTAGGCGTATGGGTCAGCTTATAGAGGGTCTTGAATAATAGAAAAAATTAGACTTCATGGGGTACGCTCATCAAACCCATGTTGATGGGGGCAGCTAGGTGGTGCAGTAGATAAAGCTCCAGCCTTAGAGTCAATAGGACCTGAGTTCAAATATGGCCTCACACACTTGACACTTACTAGCTGTGTGACTCTAGGCAAGTCACTTAACCCCCGACTGCCTCATCAAAAAGAAAAAAACAAAACAAAACACCCTTATTGATGGAGTAAATTCAGATGAGAAAATGTATGCAAACTGCTTTGTAAACCTTATAGAGTTATATTGTCAATTTTTTTTTATAATTTATCTCAATCTTCTCATCTTTTTGATGAAGTTCAAATAGAAACAGCTCTCTTTTTATATAATAATAGTAATAATAATTCTTAATAGTTATAATTATTTATTATTATGCTATTGTGAGCTATTGTAGGTGTTTGATCAGAGGATTACCGGACTGAGAGTCAGGTTTCAGGAAGATGAAGTTAACATTGAGCCTGGTGGTTAGAAAGGGAAGGATTAGAACCTTGATCAACCAAGGAAGGAGAGAATTTTTAAAAGAAGGGGGTGGTTAACAATGTCATTTATTATGGAAATGTCAATAGGTGTGAGGACTTAGACCTTCGGAAAGTTACTTTCCCCTCTCTGGGCCTCAGTTTCCTCATCTATAAAATTCAGGGGTTGGACAGAATGATCTTTAATGCTCCTTCTAGCTCTAAATCTATGATCCCAGGAGACCACTAAATGTGGCAATAAGATTACCCAAACTTTAGAGAGAGCAATTTCAGTAGGTTGCATGATGGGAACAGAGACCAAATTTCAGTGGGTTGAGGAATGAATTGGGGCGAGGGGAGGGATGCACCAATGTATACTACTCTTTCTAAATGTTTGCCCATTAATTGCAAGAGAGCTAGATTAATAGCTCAAAGGATCAACAGGGTAAAGAGAAGGGTTAGTCTTTTTTTCAAGATAGGAGTGATGTGAATATGAATGAGGTCAGGAAGGGGGTGGAAAGTGGAGGTGGGGAACATAATGATCTTTGTGGGGGGTGGCTGACTTAAAGGTCAAGGCCCCAGGAAGAGATGGAAGGGAGTAACTTGGATGAAGAGCTTTCTGGGCCTCACCTGAGTACCTTTCGGGTGATGTCCTCATCAGTAATCCCCCGGTACATTAAGTCTTCATTCCACACAGGGTTCAATGTGTTCCTCTGAGTCTTGGTCTTCAACTTGTTGGCCTATTGGTCATAAAAGGGGTAAAGGATTCCGCAAGAGGTAGGGAGTACCCACAAAGGGAAGGAAAAAAAACAGAGTTTAAGGTGGAAGAGGAGAAATCTAATCAATTATAAACTCCTTGAGGTCAGT